ACACACACACACACACACACACACACACACACACACACACACACACAGAATGTTGAAATGGAAACATGAACGTTAGTACAGACAGTTGTGAGAGTCAACAAGGCGGAGATGTTAGATGTGAAGGACTCAGTGGTTAGTGCATGTGTGACCTGGTCTGTACAGTTGGAAGTAAAAACCCGACACTTCAGGGTGAAAAAGTTAACGTTACAGGGTTGGTCCAGCTATTTTAAAAGAAGCCATCAAAGATGCAGTTTTACATTCAAGTAGCTCAAATTCAAATTTAGCATCCGAGACTTTACTTCCAAGACGTACCAGAGGATCTGTATTTCAAAAGAAACAGTTCCCGTGTAGATGGAAAACAAATACGATCATGTTGAACCACCCCTTCAGTTAGTAAAAGGACGATTCAGGCTATAAAGCTGTGAAATTAAATACAACAAATGTAATTCTAACAGACACCAGAGTCTGTTGGAGTCAGTTCTGCAGATAATCTACAGCTACTGGTGAAGGTTAGTGGACATGAGAAGCTGACGACTAGTCTGTACAATAAGACAAATTCAGAGCCACAAGAAAAAAAAAAAAAAAAAAAAAAGAGCGGAGTGTCACGGTCACCAAATTTTCAGCTGGTTTCAAGCTGTTTGCTACGTTTCTCATCCTAGTTTTGTAGCAAAGCAACATACTGCTGTCGACGGGGGCAGCAGCAAAGAGTATTTAGGCCATTTCAAATAGACAATATCAGTGTAAGTGCACGCTAGATCTTTAACATTTTCATCACTTCACCTTACAGTCAGACAGCCCTTGTCCATCGGTTAGTTTGTGTGTGTTATTGTGTGACTTCTGTGTTTAAAAAGAGTTATTTTGAATTCACCAAAGTCAAATTACTGTTTTTGTCAAAAGGAGTCTGTAGCTTTGAAGAGAGCACAGATATATACAACAGCTTCAGCTCCCTGTCAGAAAGGGCCGTCTCACTGGAAGGTAAAGCGGTGAAAACGTTAGAAATAAAGCACACACTTACACCGATGTAGATTTTTCTTTGACTAAAATATGTTTTGCTTCTGCCCTCAGCATATTTTATATTTGATCTTGCCATGTTTTCAAATGTTCTAATCTTCACCTTCACCTTGTTGATCCAGACTTAATATAGACCTATTGTATGATATGCAGGTTTGAGATCTTTCCGTTTCAACACGGTCCACTCGGCTCATTTGTTCTTGTATCTTGGCCAGAGTGTCGGAGTGGCTGTGCAGCGTCATACCTCATGTCGCCCAGTCTCTTGCTGAGCACAGTGCCCACTGTGGTCAGAGCTGCACTGGTCTTCTGTCCTGCCTGGGAGAGAGTCTCTTGAGTCTTTTTGTATCTGCAGAAGAGAGGGGAGGATGGATGGAGGGAACAGGAGAATGGAAAGAGAACAATGGAGAAAATATAAAGGAGAACAGATGGTTGGAGTGGAAAGAAGATGTGGATGGCAAGAAAAAGGACGGAAAAGAAAGAACATGGCGGGGAGAAAGAAGAGATGGAGAGAGGAAAGAAAAGATGATAAGACAGCGAGCAGAACGAAATGGAGAAAAACAAGGTCGATGAATGAGAGAGGGGAGGGATGGTAAAAAGAGAGAGTGGTACATTAGACCAAAACAATGAGCACAGAGAAAAACCGACTTAAGTTAGTGCTTCATCCCTCAACAAGTCCAGTAGTCACCACCCCGATGGTTAACGTTCACACAGAAATACAGTCACAGGCATTTAAAGGCTGGAGCATCAAAAAGAAGAACAGCCAGCCTCCGGTTTCTATTTGCCTTTTAAAAACATCAGCTCTATGGATATGATTTGTATTGTGATATTAGAGATAAGATCATGTTAAATGGAACATGTCGCTGTGATATAGTCGCACTTTTAATGTTTAAACATTTGAAACAAAATGTTGACTCTTTCATGCATGTTTATTCACATACTTTAACTGTGTTGCAGAAAGCTGAAAAGCTTCCATTATTCCAAAGCTCCTGTAATTTTGAGTAACGAGTAGGCAACATGAAAACAGAACAGATGGCCCAACCCTTGTGCATGATTAGGTTACACAACATCTTCCACCAAACACACCTAAAGACTAAAGTGTTTCAAGCCGTCAAGTCTGCCGTCGTAGAGAGGGACGGCTCCAAACAAGTTTAAGAACAGCCTTGCGTGTGGTCTCTGCAACTAACATAAATTGTTAAATTTTCTTTTCTTTTTTTAAAGTTAAATTGGCCTCAGTGGTTTTTTGGCCATATCTCTCAGCACTAACTTGAGGTCTGGTGAGAAGCCTTCACACCGACACAACTACTGGTGGTCACAGCTGCAGGTATGTTTTTCAACTTTGTGTTAAGTTGCTCTTTAAATTCAAACCGACCGTGAGAACCTTAAATCTAAGATTGATTTACATATTATAGAGTCTCTGTTCAAAGAAAAAGTTAATTCAATCATTCAGAAATACACCCACAGAGGAGGAACAGTTAGCATTGGCTCTCTGCGGTGCTTATGCTATGCCCAGTTAAGATAAGTTAGCTGCTTCACAGCTCCACTTTCACAATTAATACACAGGCATGGTGTGAGAAACCGTAGTGGATCAGTGAGCCATGAAAATACATTAAAAAAAATGAAATAGTAGAGAGTCAAATATATCCAAACTGGCAAAAGCTACCAACAGGCTGAAGCACCGTCTGTATGGCCACACAACGAACATAAACACACATCTTGGGTAAAAGCCAACGTCATGATCAGCTGATCCACCCAAACACACACATCAAGGCTCAGCAGCAGATGGTTCACAGAGGCTGAGCAAACACAGTTTTGGAGATAAGCTGGTGTGGCTGAATACAAACACTCACCACGGTGTCACTCAACATGGCTGATCTTCCACACTAAAGGACCACTTACTGGAGTACTTGCTCTTTCAGCATTTTAGCAGAACTCATTTAACAGCCACTAACACAACCAGCACCCTCGCAACAGCAAAAAAGAAGAAGAAAGGATGGATAGTCAATACATAAAACCAGGAGGAAAAAAAACTCTCCGAAAAGCAAAGCAAACTTAAAGAAACCTTAGCTCGTCTACGAAAATAAAAGAACACAAAAAAAAGAAAGGGGTCAACTCACGCTTCAGAGCGGGAAATGTCATCCAAAGTGGCCGAGGCAGACAGATATCTGAAGACACAACGGCAGGATAATGACACAGGGGGAGAGGCACACACTCGCAATACAGTACAGTAGATCACAATAGAGTTCAGTAGAGGTACAGTGTCAGCGTCAACAGACTCTTAACCCCTGGTTTACTGATTGGATTTGAAGGTTCTGGTGGACGTCTTTTAACATTTAAAGCCAACTTCGTTGGTGAACGTTTTTGTTTTAAAAAAGGAGTGTAGAGGAGAAATAACAGCATTAGACACACAACACAACTTAAAATCATAGGAGGTAACGTGAACAAACATTCGCAACAAAGCAGGAATTCAGACTTAACGAATGGGCAACATTATTGAAATATTTTGGCATCCTTCTTATCAGTTTATTGCAATTAAAGCACAGAAAAATCTGTTTATTTTGGGATCATACTACTGTAGTAAACCAGCCTCCAGACGATGTTATTAACAGACAGGACGTTTGGTTTTCCAACGTATCTGAGAAATCCACAACATGTACATAACAAATCAAAAACGTATTAGCACCAAAAAGGTTAACAGACCAAACAGCAGGCAGAACAGCCCGTTCATGATTAGTAACAAAGCTTCATCACACACACGCATGCACAGTCCGGCCTGTACGCTGTCTAGAAAAAGAGAGGAAGTGCCTTTGTGCCGACTTCTCTTTAAAACAATGGAGCCGATAAGGAAGCTCAGCCAACACAACACAAGAATGACAGGAAGTCCAACTGTGCACTCATCTGGTGGAGGCTTTGAAACATAAGACTCCTGATCCAAACACCGTCTCACTCAACACAGCCAGCAGTGTAAACATATATATACACACATATATATACACACACACACACACACACACACACACATATACATATTTAAGATATTCTACTGAAGGAGTGGGTCAATAACATTCCAGAGATTTCTTTCCAGCTCGTGTGCATATTTACATCACCACATTTATAAAAATAATAAACAATCACATGTCCTGTATTTTTTTTTTTTTTTTTTTGCAATAATTACTGTCATTATATACTTCTTCTTTTAATAGTTTGCAATCACTATTATGTAGTTATATTACCTTCTGCATATTAATCTCGTCTTCCGTTTTACAGCGAAATTTTAACATTAATTAGCAAATATTGGCCGAGGATGATCGGAGGCCGATAAGTTGGAGTACCGTCAACGATGACCTGATCAAAACGCAGCAAATAAGACGTTTACAACATAAAACGTGCAAACTTCAGCACCTCTGACTGGACAGAGCTACGAAATGCGGCGCAAAGCTTATTGAGTTAATAGAGTATAATAATTAGTTTTCAGGCATACATATGAGCAACTTTATTCGCTATAATTTATTTGATGCGATTCTTACACATTTTGTTTCAATAAAAAGGAAAATCCTTTCAGTCAGAGTTTTGCCAGATCTCTCATTTGACAATAAAAGCCGAGTAAAACACAATATAAGTAAATGACGACCGCTAGTTTGAGGAAAGCTTGAGAGCTTGTGTTGTATTGACTGAAACCGACATCCCAGTGAGACATTAGTGGAAAATACTTGTTACATACTGAGGGAACTACAAGTCTAGGTGGAATACATGTGTGGCTAAAGGGAAGGTGGTGAGGTTTACGTTCTCCTTCGCCTGACATTCTGTGGCATAAGTTGTTTGATTTTGACTGTGATGCTAATAAAGCACACTTAACAGACTTGAAAATCGAGTACAACAGCTGACTGACTCCACCCACTCTAGATTTCATGGCAACCTACTTTGCATCTTCAACGTATAATTCATAACCAATTTGTTTAGCCCAGTTCATCTCTCTGGATATCAGATATCATGTTACAGAGCAAAACACCATGTCCTTCTCTTCACCTCCCTTCCTTCCTCCCGCCATCACATTCCTTTCCTCCCACTTGTTCCTGCAGCAGCAGTTCTGCGCTGCCCGTCTGGTCTCCAGGCACAACCGGGCTGCCTTCATGTGTGTGTTCATGTCGTGGGTGAGAGACACAAACACACTTTTCCTGTGCTGTACTTGGCATTGTGTGTGAAGGCCTGAACCAAGAATAATGCGCCTGCCTGCTCGCGTTTCTGCTACTCTAAGCAAATATGTAATAATCCACAATTCTTGTGGCTCTGTGAGCAAACGCATGACTGAAAACCCAAGACAAAAAGAGAGAGAGAGCGAGACAGAAGTGTGTGAGCGGACATGCAAGTCTATTTCTGTGTATAGAACAAACACGCCATCCCAAGATCAGTGCACCTGCTGCTGTTTGTGAAGGCGTGTAAAAGTCAAGAATCGTGTCAGCAGTCAGTTTAGGCTAACTAGCCGAGTGAGCTTGCCAATCCAGTTCCTATCAGGAGGCAGCCACATGGAAAATTCCATCAGATCTCACAGCAACAGAAGCAGAAAAACTCACCGACTCAGTGTCTCTCGCCGACTGCAGAGTCTGGATTCTTTAAGCAGCCGTACAGAAACATGGTAAAAATAAATCTCCACCTCAAACCAACTCCTAGGGAGACTTTATCTACTCAAGAGTTTATTAAAAGGTGAGACAGACATGGAAACAATGGTCCCCCTTCAGATTGAGTTCCAATTCATATTTAACTCCTAATTTAATTTTATGAATCTGTATTTTAGATTTCTACCCACATGTATACCCCCCAAAAAAAAAAAAAAAAAAACATTTTCTATTGTATTTCATATAATAATGTTGAATATTTATGGAGAGGAGTGTCAGCGTGGCTCTGTTTTGGCAGGAGGTTTTAATACAATAATACTGAAGCTCGGGAAAAGTTTTCAACCAACAACAAGGCGCTTTAGAGCGGCTTTACCATGTTCTGCCCAGGGGCACATCGCCTCCTAATCCCTCAAATCTAGGTAATTACCAATGGGCATCAGCTGAACACTGGTTATTATATCATTACATAATTGCTGCTTGTGCCAATTGATTGTATTTAGCTAATCAGCCCTCAGGCTCAAATCATGATGCAACCATTACCAAAGAGTGGCTTAATGAGTCCGATTTTCAACACACAAATGGTCAATTTGTGCAATCTAGGTAAACAGACAAAAGGGAATAAAACCGTTTGACGATTGTTGTTGCCCCGCTAAATAACCATCAGTGGCCTGATTATACTACAGCAAAGCCTTTTAACTCTAAACCTTTATCTACACACAACTCCTTAGCTCCACTCTTCATCTTACAGCTAAGAACACATCCCTGGGATCGTCTCTAAACGTGAGAAAAGAAGCGTCTGAGAAAATGTTAAATACAGAAGAATGTTGATTTGGAGAGGAAGTAGAGAGCAGGACATGTGTCAGCACTTCTGGGTGGAAGAAGAGAGGTCACCTGACCTCTGGGAGAGGAAGTAAAAACAGACGAATTATACCGATAGGAGGTGGAGACAGAAGAGAAAGACAGAAAAAGAACACATTAGGGAAATAAAAAGGCAGAGAATGATAGATAACAGAAAGGTGATAGAAAACAGGTCGTAGTTCTACTTATGTCAGCTCCAACTGCCATTAAAGAAACCCTGCCACGTCTCAGCAAACTTCTAAAACAAATCTGATTAGCAAACTAAAAGGTGAGTCACAGGCTAAACACAGAGCAGGTGAATGAGTTATGTAACTGAAGTGGTTAGAACAGAGACACACCAAATTCCACTGCAGTGCTACAAGTGGCGCCACATGTGCAACAGTGTGACAGAGTATCAGACCTGGAAACGTCCCTAAACAGGGTCAAAGAAAACCTGCTGAACTAGGAGTATGAAAATGCACCGAAGACCGTAAAGAAATACTACTTTAAATGTTGACCTCAATCACGTATGAAATATAAAACTAATAACTTGAGCATATTAACGTACGCTCGTAAAGCATTCCTTTACAGCATCTCATTCAACACGAGCAAAAAGAATGAACAGACTACAGACAAACGTTCGTCCTCCAAGCACACACGAAGTTAAACACCAACTGTTGAAATGTAAGAGTTCTCAAACACGGTTAGAAGGTGAGAACGGACGAGGGCCGAGCCTTGAGTAACAGTCAGAGCGTGAGAGAGCAAACAGCGCGGGAGCCCAGACATCAGCGGCGAGCGAGTGGCAAACAGAGACTCACAGATCCAAGCTGGTAACTCTCTCATTCCACTCGCCCAGTTTCTCAGTGGTTCTCACATAGCTAGGAAACAGAAACATGAGGGTGTTACACTGCGGAGGTAAGCATCCAGGAGTTTAAAGCAAGCTGGCTAGAGGAGGAAGCCAGGGATAGAAAAAAATAAATAAATCTCAAAGCGCAATTGAAATCTATAGAAAATATGATCTGGAATTAAGAAGTCGGGCCATTTGTATAATTCACGTTCTTCAGCTAATGAGAAGTGATTGTACAGACAGATACAAAATCATCATCAAGAGTCAAACAGACCTGACCTGACAAAACACTGAGGTTAGACTTCATTTTTAATAAAATAGAAATGAAGTATATAAAACTCTTTGAATACCCAGAGTCCTTTGCAAACCACCAAATGTGCTGAATTATGAACTTGTTTCTAAGCAGAAAATGTTGACGCTGGACCAAGAAAGGGTGACGAGACTCTTTGTAAACAGATACGTGGTTTCATCTTCGTAATCAGTTAAAACAAAGCAACTGCTGTGTTTAAAAAAAAACGGTGACTAGCTTGATTAGCACGATCACATGGTGAAACACTCGGTTATCTCTGTTATCAGAGAAAGAATGCAGGGAGTGCTGATCTCAGTGGACGGTGCTCAAAGTCACTTCTTCTACTTTATTCTTCCATCTTGCTAGAATACTTTTTAATGTGGGCATTAGATACGATTATCCTATTGCAAAGGTAGCCTCAGAGATGTTTTCTATCTTTGACGAGGTTTTCATCCCACCGCTAAAGCTTTGTTTCTACGAGTGCATGGCACCGTAGCGCGCTACTCCGCTGATGACGCAAGCTCCGAGCGTGCACAAAGACTTTTATGCTCAATGCGCCGTTTGTTGCATTATTCTCGCCAGAAGGCATAGAAACCAAATAAACAGTGAAAAACCAAAAAGACAACGAGTGTAACGGTTAAAAAAAGCCATTTTTAAGACCTCCCGTTTTTGTCATCGAATATTTGGTAGTCGTGATAAGTTGGTGGTGTATATTTATATGCATAGTGTGTATATATTCATAACGTTTTAGACGACTGAAGGACTTGACCAGAAAAATCTAAAATAAAAACCTCTCCAAGAACAACATCATATCTGAGGGACGACTTCCAGTGAGTTTCTGTCTCACGTGTTGAGATAACGCGGTGGGATGAATACATACGCGTTGGAGGTCTGTACGTCTTGCCAGCCCTTGGTGAAGTTCTGCCTGAGTTCGTTGAGCGGGCTGAGGCCCAGTTTCCTCTTCAGCTCAGCTGCGTGTCTCTCTTTGGCCGACAAAACCTGACGCAGGGTGTTGATCTCCTCCTCCACCTAAAACACACAACAGGGACACCAGAAAAAGTTATGTGTGGGGTTTTCCTCTTCATTCACAGCACTCTACACGGCTACAGATTCATATACCACAACGGTGCATGCATTTGGTTTTTTTTATATTTGGGTAGGCATCTGTGGCAGGTGATCCCAAACTTTTGAATGGCAGTAATTTCATGGGTATTTCCCTACAGTATCCACAAAACACATGACTATTCTTACCTCTAGTTACATTTAAACACTGGTGATGTTGGAACATCTGGGCCCTACCTTGGTGAGCTCTGTGCGGAGCTCCTCCGCTTCCTCCTCCGTCAGGCCGGGTGGAAGAGGGTTGGCTGCTGGGTTCGCCATCGCCCCCCCCTCTACCACTCCCACCACTCCCTCCACCGGCACGTCGGAGAGGCTGTCTGAATGATCCACAACAAGGCCCTTGTTAGGAGAGTTCAGGTTGATATCTGGAACGAGAGCAAGAGAGGGGTGATGGGATAAAGGGAGGGAGAAGACAAGGTGAAGAATAGGAGAAGTTAATGGGACCGTGATATGGAGCAGCAGCAGAGGGCTGAACACTTAGATCAGTGTTAAAAGCTTAGAGTGCTTTACTAAGATGCTTCTTCTGTCAGTATCCATCACACACACACACACACACACACACACACACACACACACACACACACGACAGGAAGAGAAAGTGTCAATTAGCGGCGCCGGGAGTTGAACTGCACTCTGGGAAAGTAACTTCAGACCCTTCTGTCTGAGGTCCATTAAACCTTTTGCTTTCTGAAAACAGGAACGCTACAAAACAGTGGACCAAAACAAAAGGAGGAGAATAAACTTCCCAAAAAGAACAAAAGACCATAATCTATTCTGGTGTAAACCGTAAGTTCTCAAATATAAGTTGACAGCACAGAAATGCTACTTTTTTTTTTTTACACTGAAATCTGCCACAGTCAGCATTACTTTGCCAATGAGTACAGCTCTCATCATTCACCTGAGGACACCGTCATAATTTTGGCAAAAACAGAAGCTTGTCACAGTCGGCATGGAAGACAAACAAACTGGAGCTTCAGACTGAAACCCTGTGTAAAAATAAACTCTTTGCATTTATAGTCCAACATTTATTTGGCAATTGTTACACATATTTATGAGTGCTGACGAATTAATTTGCCAATTTTGTGATTTTTGGGTTGGCATCCAGCATACTCTAAAGATGACCGAGTCGAGCACGCCCGTTCTGTTTGTAGTCAAACATTCAAACACCCAGCCGCCGACAATATTGGTTCTAAATTGTTTGATCGGCGGTCTCTATGAATGCTGATCAGATGGCAGAAAACCCACCGCTAAAATGGCTTCACCGGAGTAGTGTCTCCAAGAGAAAATAAATAAATAAATAAAGCTACACAATAAATAGATGGCTTCCGGAAGAGTTAGCGGCCACTTTTCCCAGAAAGTATCCACCACATCAGTTAGTTTAGCTGAGAGGTGGTCAGCTGTGTGTCGGTCTGGCATACTCAGGGTCAGGGTTGTACGACAGTGTGGTGTAACGATGGCAAGAGAGGGTGTGTGTGTGTGTGTGTGACAATGAGTATGAAATTAGCAGTAACATTGTAGCTGTGAACATAGCAGTCTGTGTACAGTTTACTTGTCAGTGGATATATGCTACACGCAGCAGACAAACGCATTGCAATAGACAGATTAACATCTGCAGGTAGCGCTGGTGATGCCGTGCGATCCAGAGTCTCAACCATGACATACGCATTACAAGTTGCTCCACCCTCTAGGTGTATTGACTCAGCCAAGACTGATTCAGCGTGGCCCACAGAAACAAGGCTCATATGAGAACAGAAAAAAATAACATTTCTTCCTGGGATTTGGAGGTCAGTCTCAGATACTCTTCTGTGTGTGGGACATGCCATCAATTAGGGATTTCCTACACTTTCCAGAAGGCCACCTGGCAACCCCCAGAATCAAGTTCTGTTGCATATAGGGAATGATTTGCTGCAAATCCGCTTTGTTTTCCTTCTTTTCCTGCTGGTATGGACGTAGAAAAGTAGACTCTGTGGTGCATCTATGGTGGATCTCTCTTGATTTATACTGCATCCAAATCTGACATCTATTGTTAGTGTTTCTTAAAGTTTGGCAAATTATTCACAAGAAAACAAAAAGATTATCACCACACATTAAAATGGACCCATGAAAGTAAGTCAAGGCACATCTCAGATACCTGTTAATGTTATTCTTTAAGGATGGGCTTAAAAAACCTGACATCAGTGTCATGTGAGAATGCATCAGTTGGGTAAAAGCCCCCCCTCACAGCATCATTTAGGGAACAGTAGTGGCAGGATTTGATTTGCCCTTTTCCACTCTAGTTTGTCATGCTTCACGGAGACCATAATCATTTCCTACAAACGCCCATCCTAAGGCACAGCCTGATGAAACAAGGCATGATGGCCAGCCACTCACTATTACAAACTATGGGATACAAGAAGTCTCAAGAGGACAACTCTGCAGACATGATGACCTGAAGATACTGAATTAAATCATATCCTCACTTTACCTTTATTGTAGCATTGTCTCACAGCACAGGCTGCCTTTTATTGCTAGCAGTAGTTAAACGTAGCTTCATTTTGACCAGCTACAACGTGAAAAGCAGCGTAAACAGTAATGCATTGAATATCACACAGACAGTCTGCTGCCTAAGGAGTACTTTTACTTTGATACTTCAGTAAGATTTTTAACAAAACACTTTTACTTGTATTGGAGTGATTTCACCCTGAGGTAGACTGTCACTACTTTTAATTAAAGTAACTGAGTATTTCTACCACCACTGGCTAAAGATGGAAGTGAAGATCTGTCAATAGAGTGAATAGTGACAGTGATAAAGCAGCAGCTAGCGTGCTAGCAACACCGAGGATGGACGCTCAGTTAGTCAGCAAATCTGACTGAGAAATAAAGTGTGATTCAAATTGAATAGACTGACAAACGTGTATTCAGATAAACACGAAGCAGAGGGTAGTTAGTGTTTTACTTTTAAAAGCCACCAATACTAAACTAACTTTAGCTAACGTTTTAGCATTAATGAGCGTCCTTTTGTTTACAAAGATTTAAGCTCAGCTCGTTTCAATTTAAACGCCTGTCAGTCTCACAGACGATATGATGACATTGTTCACTTGTAAGCTGAACTAATGTCAGTCAACCCGATGAAATTGTGAAGAGAAGTTTGTGACATTAGCGTTAGTAACACGATACGCCTTCACTTACTCCTGTCAGTTATAGCAGCGGGCCCGTCCTCACGACATCATGTTTTGTGATCTCTAAACATATGGAATCGTTCAACCACACAACCTGGCAACATGATTAAATGAATAGCTACGTGTTGGTGGGTTTATTTATAATAACCGTATTCTGTATGCCTAACAAACATTTTATGAATGTCTGAAGCTAAGCTAGACGCTTGCTAGCTTTTTAGCTTGTACGTTACCTTGACTGGCGGGGTCCATTTCGGCGTCGATTTCACAGACCTAGAACAACTTTTTTTTTGTTCAAAGTTAACCTCCACGGGTGTGGAATGTGGACAGCAGACTAGTTAAGTGGGCTTTCCACTCGGTGTGTGTTAATCTTCCTGGTTTTAGAGACAGACTCCCACTCAACTAAAGTCGTCAATAGGAACTCTAAACAGCCCAACAGCCAGCTCAGCTTAAACGTCTCTTTGTAAAGCTCACGACAACAATCACAGACGTGCGTCCGGTACGGAATTTCAAAATAAGTTAAAATAAACTTTATTTATTTTTTAATCCCCAAAAGGGAAATTCACGTGTTGCTGCACAATATACAGATAAATAGGCAAGTACATATATAAGTAAATATCTAAAGAGAAACAAATAAATAATATTATTTACAAGAATAAAATTATAACAATAAAACAATCAAATGTAATTTTTTTTACAAAACTTAATGCTAAAAGTTGAAAATCCAATCAAACAAATCAAATGTTCAAAATCAACAAATAAAAGTCAATGGGTGAAAAGATATTATAATATACACCAGGGATAAAAAAATAATGTTAAAAGCAAAGCTTAAAAACTAAGGCTATAACATTACTCCACATTAATAGAGTTCGCCATTTTAATAGCCAGAGGTAGTTAGTTCCACAGTTTAGGGGCATAGAAACAAAGGGCACGTAAAGGAGCATTTAAAAGAAAAGCATGGGGAGGACCTTTGTGATCTGGCTGCAACATAAAATGAAAGAAAATCTCTGATTTAGGGAGTAGCGAGCTAATTTGCAGCTTTATGAACTAGTAAAAGACCTTTAAAATCAATTCTTAAATATACAGGTAGCCATTGCGGTGGGGTAATGTGATCAATTTACCTTGTTTTGGTTAAGATTCTATCAGATGAAATATTGTACCAACAGGTATATGCATTTCTATATGCAATCCAACCAATCTTTACTGTTAACCTGTTTATATTTCATGATCCATACTGTTAACCTTATTGTGGCATTGTATACTGAACATGATGTTGGGCAAAACAATGTTTTCATCATAATATACTGAGCTATTATAGTTTTAGGTGAATGTGGGACAAAATTGCAACACTGTTCACAGAAAATAATGAGCATACACTTACTCATATTTAATGCTATTCTGATTTATTATAAAATATATGCCAAGACGTTTTGCTGCCTTGTATTTCATTGAATAATTAGGGAGCTTATAATTAATGTAATTATTATGATTAATGGTTGGAAGATTGTTTTTAGAGTACCTGGGAAACAATACTTTGTATATGGAGTGATTATATATTGAACTTTAAACTTGGCAGTAAAAAAAAAATATGTTTGAATGTTTATCTTGAAGTGTGCATTGACCTGAATGTTTAGTAAGTAAACGTGATCTTCGTTTTCGTGCTTTTATTTTAAAGGCGTGTCCTCCAGACAGGAAGTTCTGCACTACTTACGTTACAGATATTGGAGTTGTGAGAATTTCTTTTCCGGGGTAATCAAAGGACGTCACACAAATAGTTTGGTTTGTGTCCCAAACCAAATTATTTGACAAGAGCTGTAAACTAACTATTTATTGTGTATTTATCCAAAGCCTCCTCTATACAGAAACACACAAAACACTTCAAGTGCATAAAAGTGATTTATTTCATCTATGCATGTATCAAACAGAACCAATACCTCACCTGAACCACTCTGTCCTGCATTTTACACCAGCTCACATACACAAAACACTCAAAAACAAAGTGCTCAGACACACTCACTAACACATAAAACGCCACTGCAGCTGCATAAAACAATCATAAATGTTTTTGATACCAAACCACATTGAATCACATGAGTGTGGCTCAAACTGGTTAACAACTGCTACAACTACTTATATCACCTGTAAAATGCTGTGAAAACCTCTCAAGTTACCAAAATCTGCCACAGCATGAGACTTTAAATATTTAAGAGTTCAACTGTTTCATTAGATAGAATACTAAAATGCAGTAAAAGGTATTGCATCATTTGTGTTCATATCCTGAGGCTGTACAGTAACAGACTGATAGAGTGAACATCCTGCTATAGGACTAGTTCTGGCTGCTATAGCTACTAAAAGTCACACTTCCTCTTCTACTGCAACTATCTGGGCTAATAATACTACTAGTGCTTCTTCATTTGCAAAAACAGGTCATATTTTCCCAATTAATACAACTGCTACTCATAGCTGTGATGGAAAAAGTACTCAGATCCTTCTCTTGAATAAAAGTATTAATACCACAAACTAATAATTCTCCATTACAAGTAAAAGTCCTGCATTCCGAATGTTACCTCAGTAAAATTACACAAGTATTATCAGAAAAATATATTTCAAGTATCAAAAGAATACTCATTATGCAGAATGGCTCCTTTCACAGTGTTATATTATACGAGATTATTATATTTGAATCACTTGTGAATACATGTAGGAGCATTTTATGTTTTGGTTCTTCCACATGGAGACACATTTAGATACTTTGTATACTATTAGTAGTATAGTACTACACCATTTGAAATGTTTTTATGTAAAGAGTAGCTAGTAACAAAACTGTCAGATAAATGTAGTGGAATAAAAAGTACAACATTTACTTCTGACTGGTGTAGAAGTATGAAGTATTATAAAATGGAAGTACTCAAGTAAAGTACAAGTAAGTCAAAATTGTACTAAAGTAAAGTACTTGAGTTAATGTACTTAGTTACATTCCATCACTGCCTACTAGCTGTACCACAACAAAAGCTGTTACAATACTGAGCTGATGAAACTGACTCTGGAGTGAATCTTTCTTTCTTTATCTCGTCAGCAAAGCATCATCTCCGAAACGCTTCTCTCTGTCCTCTACTTCCACTTGTGGGGGGAGTTTAGCCAGGAGAAGCAGTACCTGGGTCGACGAGGAGCTTCGCTAAGTTTAAAAGACGAGGAAGACGAGGAATGAGGAGGACTTGTCTGAGCAGGACTCCTTGTCTCAGTCTCCATCTGGAGCAAAGGGGGACAGCAGAAGACTTTATATGAAGACTCAGTATCACATAGAAACAGTCAACATAAAAACAACACGTTTGTTGGTGGAGGAAGTATTCAGATCCTTTACTTAATTAACTAAATGTAAATGCACTAATAACTTGTACTAATAAATGTACTAATACCACACTGTGAAAATACAAGTAAAAGTCCTGCATTGAAAATGTTAAATGAGTATATTAGTAGTTTAAGTATAATTGGGAAGTAGCATGCATTGGATATGTTCAAGTAAAGTACAGATACCTCAGTTTTGTACTACAGTAGACAGTGCTTGAGTATCGAGAATTAACTATATGAGGAGTTTTTGCTCCAAATTGACATTTACACTTTGACAATGGCAGAAAAACACTTGTTGACGAAACAATATTTTCAGATATTTTAAATTATCATGCATTACACTTCACATTAAATACACAACATGTAAAGATGCAGTCAAAAGAAGCACTTCAATGCATATTTATGAAATTTCCACAACCATACTAACAATTCTTATCACACAGCATTAAGCAGAGGGGTGCAATGTGTGATGTCAGTGTTGCTGGAGCATAAAAACATCATGAATATATATATATAAACAAAATACAATATAGTTATAGTTTAAAGTGAGATAGTCAATACGTCATTGTCATTTTTATATTTGATTTAAAATAGAAATATACTCTTTCATGACTTAATGTAACTACATATTTCTACCACAAGGTGCCAGCAGAGGCAAGAGTAGAAACATGGATGGATAGATGGATAGATAGATATACATTTATTAGAGCGATCTATTGAAATATTGTACTTTTTATTCCACTACATTTGTCTGACAGCTTTAGTTACATTGCAGATTAAGATACATACCTGAGCTGTGCAGCAGTGAGGATGGCTGTGTCTCCCGCTGGTGTTATGTGCAAATGAAGCAGCCGATGTAAGCCCACACCTTCTGCAGGAAGACCAGGAAGGCCAACAGGTAGAAGAGCAGAATGACAGCCTGGAGGAAGACGGAGGGATGGGCAACAGAGAGAAAGCGGTGGATGAAGGAGGAGGTAACAGATGACATACATACAGGAGGAACAAGAGAAGTGAGCAAAGTGAGGAGACGAGAGAGAGATGGAGAGATGATGCTGCAACAAAAAGACTGTAATGTGGAGAAGGAAGGAGGAAGGAAAGAGGACTCATAACTGTATCCAGTGGTGTAATATAACTAACTACTTTTACTACTACTGGTACTTAAGTACTTAGTTGAGTATTTTCTTCTCATTTCATACTTCTACTTTGACATAATTCAGAGGGAGATATTGTACTTTTTACTTCACTACATTTATCTGGCAGCTTTAGTTTCACAAATTAAAGGGAAATAAAGAATATTAATAGGCAACTATTTTGATGTTTGTTTTATCATTTTTCATGTAAAAACATTTCACTTCTCAAATGCCAAGATTTGCTGCTTTTCCTCTTTCTTCATTCTAATTTATTTGTAATATATAGAACTTTTCATTTCCCCTTCCTCCTTCCTCTTTTCCCTTCAATTCCCAACATAAGAACAAGACAGAGACCTAAGTTGTGAAGCAATTTCAGCCAAGTTGCAAAAGTGACTCTGTAGAACATGAACAGCAAGACAATCCAAAAGAAGGGAGAAGAAGAAGAAGACAATGTGGAGATGTGGCCACAGGAGCAGGTGGGTGAAGAGTGCAATAGCCCGGTTGATGATGACGATGATGAAGGTAAAACCAGCCGACACTGACCTGGAGAGAGACAGGGGAGGTTATTTTCTCTCCACTTTCACTCTTCAAGTCTTCAGGCTGCTCGCTGTTCCTCTCCTTCCTCCTCTTTCTTCTCTGCAAACTCTGAACTAACGGCCTTAATCTCAGTGTCACCGTCTCCCTGTACCGAGCTATCTGTGGCCTCCACACCGTGATCTCCTGCATCCAAGCTGACATTTTGTGGTTCAGAGCTATCCTCCCTTATTGATAAAGCATCCGTTTTTTCTTTCCTTTCATCAGACCACACGCTTCCTTCTCCCAGCTCTTCATTCATTGTCTCAGCCTCACCCAACCCCTTATCTTTCAGCCCTGACGCACATTTTACATCTAAATTATCCTCATCACATTGCTCTTTCTCTTCTGCTTCCTCTACCTTCCTATCACTGACATCAAAGTCGTGTTTGTCCATCACTGAGCTTCCTCTCTCTGACCCTAAACGAGCCTGCTGCGGTGGTACAGACGACGGGCTATCAATATTATCAGACACACCGACGCCAAGATCGAAACCGCCCTCTACAAGGATGAAGCTTTTCTCCACAGCCCCGGGTAAGCACACCCAGCCCTGCACGTCCTCCTCCTCCTCTTCCTTATCCTCCCCTTCTCCTGCTGTCGACCTAGTTAGTCATACATGGGGAACAGGTGTATTAGCACTGCCCAGCTCAACAGGTACCTTCTGGGGTTGAGACTGAAGATGAGACAGAGGTTGGGTTTCTGACTGGTGTGGGAGTCAAGGGAGAGGAGAGTGTGGCTGAGAATGAAGCTCAGTGGAAAGTGGGAGCTGTTGTGGTCCAGGTGGATGTTGGTTGGGGTGAGACGTGCTCTGTTCTTGGGTCTGAGTCTGTGTTACCAAACTCTGTGGAGATTGTGGTTGTATTTGGGGATCAGACACGACTTGGACTGCGCGTTCAATGTTTGTCCTCTGTCGCACTCTGTGTCGTCCAATCACCTGCATCACTTACTGTCTCACACTGATATGTGAAGGAAGACGGTTAAAAAGCCATACGGAAGATTTTCACATTTTCTTTAAAGCCCAGTAGCAACAACTGACCTGTTTTCCAAAGTCTATATTATATGTTATAGATTGATTTTAATCCTTTTGTGCAGCTTTTGGTTTCAGTTCATTTCAATGAACTCTCAGAGATTTCAAAACATCCTGAGCTTTTAACAGACGAGAGATGTACGATCAAGTCATTAACAAATCTTCAAACTCAACTATCAGCTGTGATTCACAGTATAAATGACTTCCAGAGGTGATGATTTTAGACCCAACTGAAAAAATAAAAAAAGTAGGACATCCATCGAGAGTTATATTTGATCAAATTAATAATTTTTCACATTTGAAGTGTACACATATTGTAGTTAACAGGCTCAGGGTTCCTTTAAATGGCATGAGAAATAAAAGGATGAGCTGAAAGTACCTGTTGTGTGCTCATTCCCTCCTGCTCTTCACAGACGTTTCCCTCTTTAACAGGATCAGGAGCTGCACATCGCTCTGCTGGCTCGTTTCTCTCCGCTGTTTTGTTCTTCATAAGACCAGATTCTCTGTCATGTAAGTCCGGGTCCTCGGTCTCCGGCTGCAGAACCGCCCCTGCCGGCTCCACAGAGTCCCTCACCAGACCTGGAGCTGGTGGGACTGGGGCTGATGTTGGTGCAGCTGGTTTCACTGGTGGGACTGGGGCTGATGTTGGTGCAGCTGGTGGGACTGGGGCTGATGTTGGTGCAGCTGGTTTCACTGGTGGGACTGGGGCTGATGTTGGTGCAGCTGGTTTCACTGGTGGGACTGGGACTGATGTTGGTGCAGCTGGTTTCACTGGTGGGACTGGGGCTGATGTTGGTGCAGCTGGTTTCACTGGTGGGGATGTCAGTGTTGGGATTAGCTCTTTAACAGATTCTGGGTTCTGTGGGGAGATTTCCTGATGGTGTTTTGGTTCTACGATCTGGACAGAGGGCTCTTTTAGTTCTTCAGGCTCCTTTTCCACCTCTGGTTCTTCAGGAACATTTTGCACAACTGCCGAGAGAAAACAATAGCTGTTGAGACTGAATGTGCGCTTGCATATGATACATTTAAAAGTGTTATCTAATTAAAAGTGTATTAGTTAAATATGAGGTTTTATTGATCTTTACCTATAAATTTAATGAATTACAATAACATCAACAGGTCTCAAAGAGATGCTGTCATACCTGAATAATGTCAATATTATCTTGAGAGTGTCTTGAGACACAACATGGCATACTCCGTAAAGAGGAACTGCTCTCTAAATGTCCAAATAAAGTTTACTTTTACATGATATTGTTGCAGTCAGTATTTATGATGCTTCAGAAGAGGACTTTCACAAAGTGGACAGAAATGTCTTTTGTTGGTGCAACAGGTGCAACTGAAAGGTCTCCCATGCAAAATAAATGGTGTCTTATGAAGATAAAGTTTCAAAGTGGTTTCCCAGGCAGTCCCTCTTCCTACCTTTGAGGAAGTCTATGCTCTTCAGAGCCGTCTCTTCTTTGCTGAAGTTGAATCTGTAGTGGCTCAAACTCTCATAACCTGGTTTCGGTGTCTCAGCTGGACAGGAGCCGGTCGCTGTTATCACTCTGAGGAGAGGCAGAGGGGGGAGTAGACGAAAAACAAGGAATGGGGAGTAAAGAGTGGACGAAAGAAAAGGAAACAGAAAAGAATACAAAAAATCAAACAAATGATTTACTTTAGAAAAGAAAGAGCTGTATCAAAACCATCCAGTAGGCAACAAAACATAACATATCTCGTCACAATACTCACTTTGTGATCAGCTCTCTTGAATTCTGAAAGGAGGAAATGAGAAAAATGATAAGGAGTTATTTTAGAGATTCTGGAGACAAACAATTATTATGTCTATTATCTTGCAGTTTTTATTATCTACATACTGTAATTGTTCAGACATCAACTCAATTCAGCACAAGATGCACAAACAAAAATCTGAACATTTCTCAAACTTGCTACTATAAGTTACTTGTCAGTATTATTGTAGTAATGCTACTTTTACCTCAGTAACAGATGTGAGTACTTCTTCCACCTCTAGTAATGGGCAGTAACATATTAAATGGACTTCTCATATCTGTAATTGTTTGTTTTTGCTTTACTGTTGGCCATGTCTGTGTCCTGCTTATGTACTGTATGTCTATGTTTTACTTTTACTTGAAGAAAAATAACCTCCTGGCTATTCTGGCAAATTTAAAAAGTAATGTTTATTGATACGCACTGCCCCTGAGAAATAAATAGGCCTAAATAAAAACAAAACAAAGGGAGACCAACCAAACTGTATGGTTCTACAGCTAATAGTACCTGTAGTACCTGTCGTATTTTTTTACGAGACAATAATGTTTGCACTTCAGGTTTGTACCGTCGCCTTTATACAGCGTAAATTTCTTCCTAATTCCAAAGAGCATCTGTTCAAACAATTTAATGGAAATGTTGTTCAAAATATTTTGCACACACACACACACACACACACACACACACACACACACACACACCTGAACAAAAGCAGCCATGTCCGGCTCCTCCATGCTGCTCACTGCTCTCTCCACCAGTTTGCTGTTGGCTTCCACGCTGTCTCCATAGCATCGCACCGACGCCTGGGCGTGGCCTATCTTCTCTTCCTGCTCAGAGCTGATACGCTGCGTCATCACCTTTAGCGTGATGATGATGATGATGAAGACAATAATAAACCACTACAACTATGAGACCCGTTACTGCTGCTATGACTTTTACTGCTGACATAGACCTTGAATATACACAATGTACTGACATGTATTTCATATATTAACATTACAATTTTCAAAATACTCAATATACTAATACAACAATATTATAAAGTAAAATATAGGTCCATTCATATATTGACATGTAGTTAGTTATATATACATTATATTATTCTGTTTTAACCACTAATGAATTTATGTAAGAGCATTTTAATGTTGTAGTTCATCAATGGATAGATTAAGAGTATAGCACTACATTATACTGTCTGTTTTTTATGGTGAAAAGTAACTAGTAACTAAAGCAGTCAGATAAATGTACTCCAAAAATAGAATATTTCCCTCAGAGAAATACAGTAAATGAGATAATAATAATAAATGTGTAAAACGTGCTGAGAACAGGAAAACATCTGACCTTTTGTCTCTCCTTCAGGATCGAAAACACACGATTGAACTTCTCACACACACTTTGTTTCTGAGTCTTACAGTTCTCCTGCAGAGAGAGGAATGAAGGTGAGTGCACAAAACAAGCTTTTCTGTTCAGTGCTTTCACACTTTACTAGAACTAGAAACTCAATGCATGAGACTGTAAAATGAGTAAGCATATTCAAAAAACTGTTACTGCTACATACAGGTAGTAAATACTGTATGGGCTAGCCTTCACACACACACACACACACACACACACACAGAATGATACCTCCTGTTTACAGGTCGTAGAGATGACACTTATTCAATTTGAGATAAATTAAATGCCAAAACTTGCAGATTTGCTATTTTTACTTTGCGTCAACAAGAGGAATAGTGCATTTGTTGGGGACTATTTTCAGTGGGAGAATAATCCACCTGGACACACACACACACATACACACACAAACACACCTCTATGTTTTTGCAAGTCTCCTCCAGCTCATTGATCAATGCCTGGACTTTGTCGTTGACTGCCACCAAAGAACTGACTCCTTCACTCAGCTCATCCTGACAAACAAAAGGACATTAAGTTGTTATTAAGACTTATGATTATTAGGTATTATTCTCTCTTGTTCATTCATTCACTGTTCTAAATACTGTACTGGTTACTCTTCAGTGATAATGAGAGATGTTGGACGCTTTAATTAATCACTGTTGTGTTGAATCACCACTAAGAGGTGCAGTGTTGCAGCTGTAGTATTCAGATCCTTTACTGAAGTAAAAGTACTTATACGCTGTGAAAATACTCAGCTACAAGTAAATGTACTGCATTCAAAACTTCACTAAATCAAAGGTATGTAAGTACTAACAGAATTTATACTTAAGTATTGATTGTGCAGTAAAATGTTCCCTGTCAGTGTTTTACTATTATATATGATGTTTCTAGATTAATATTACTGCTGCAAGAATGTATATGTTGCATTTGACTGTTGTTTTTAACTCCTGTATATACTGTTGGGTACTTTAATCTACGGCAATAAATCATATTCTATAAATTCATCATGTTTTTAGAGTCGCTGTCCTGTGCGAAACACATATCTCTAAAAAGTCAACTTTTCTCGAACACAGTAATGTGATGATGCTTCTTTCAGCTGACCCAAGAGGCTTTTTAAGTAACTTATCTAGTTTAAGAAAGTAAGTGCATTTTCTTAACACATAAAGGAACATTTCATCCTTCAGTTTATCACAAACAACATCAGCACATCTGGAGATACGTGGTTTTCACTGGACAGGAAGTGGATGAAAAACTGTAATCTGAAAAATAACTAAAGCTGTCAGATACATGTAGTGGAGTAAAAAGTACAATATTTACCTCTGCGATGTAGTGGAGGAGAAGTATAAAGTAGCATAAAATAGAAATAAGCAGATTTTCATAGAAGGAATAGCAGAAGGATAGATGTAGATAGAATAGACGTAATATGTATAAAGCTTTCAAAACATGAAAAAAAACCATTGGTATAATTGTCACACACCATTATAGAAGAATGTTATATACCTTCTTCTGCTGATAGATGTCTGTCAGAGGAGCCACCTGACAGGACTGATGAGCTCCGAACACTTTGCAGAGAGAACATGTAGGAACCTGACAGGTGAGACAGTAAATGTTCACCTTCTCACCCTCATGGTCCGAACATGTCACCTGACCAGGAAGTGGAGGATGAGGACGTGGAGGAGGAGGGAGGGGGCTAGAGAGAGAGAGAGAGAGAGAGAGAGCGAGAGAGAGAGAGAGAGAGAGAGAAAAACACCACGTCTTCAAACACCTGTATTTATGTTATGGAGGCATATTCTATATCGTAATTCTCTTATAGTCGTCTCTTTTCACCTTGCAGCTTTGCTGTTGTTGCTGACTTGCTGTTTGTAGACATCGATGATGTTCTCCACCAGCAGGTTTCGTTGCAGGCTGTAGACTCCGTGGCGATCCAGCACAACTTCATGTCTGCAGGACGGACAGTGGAAACGGCCACTGTTCACCTGCATGGTGGTACGAGCCTGGAACAAAGAGGGCTGCACAGAAATAAACAACGTCAAGATGTTGTAATTATTCATATAGGAAGGATCTTCAACCCTCCACGACTGCTTGTCAACACCCAACAGTTGGAGTGTGTTGTCTCACAGCACAGCCGCATGCTGGGATTTCAATAATGAGCAGCAGTTTTAGTCTCAGCCTTCCAAATGTCTCCCTGGGTGAAGTCAGAGCTGGTTCAGGACGGGTTACTGGGTAGATACAAAACCCCCTGTTCATCATCCAGCATGAAAACACAGTGCGGTTCAGAGGGCTGCACACTCACACGACACTCATAGAGTAGCTTATGTTTACTCTCCCTAGATCAGTCTCTAGATCAGTCATTAGCAAAGTCTGGGTCGGGACCCACAAGTGGGCCGCAGGAGATTTAAAATATATTAATAAATAATAATAAAAATATATATGGATAGAAGCAGCAGACACTGAGCACCAGGATCATGCTTTTTAGTTTGCTCTGTATTTGGTCTCTATCAACCCCTGAGGGAATTATCTGTCTTTATAGCTGCTCAATACTTTGCTAAGTTCACCAGCTAGTCTCTAACTGCGTCTGCTGTTTAGTCTCAGTAAGTTGATGAGCTGACGAGGTTGATGAGAGCTGGAGAGACAGAACCAAAAAGTAAGTTTCAGTTTACAGCAGTTTACCTACAAAAAGACAGAAATATGGGTCGATAGTTCAACAGTTAAAGACAGAAACAAAAAATAAGAGATCACAAGAGAAAACTGAGCCAAAGTTGAAACCAATTAGGGAATTGAGAATTAGGGGGAAGACCGATAGACGAGTGAAGAAAAGGACAGATGAGCAGAAAGGAGGAGGGAAGGTTAGAGGTGTAATGCGTCCTGAAATAGTGACCTTTACTAAGCTTCAGCTGCTGCTGGGCCTGGCGGAGGGATCAGCTGGTAGAGAGACAAACACTGAGCACTCAGAGAGGCAGAGAGATGGTTTACAATGTGTTTACGGCCGGCTAGAATTTATATCGTTTTCTATATTGACACGATTTCACAATCAAAGAAAAATAATCAAAATCTTCATAGAAACTCCTCAAATTAAATTTCCTGCTTTATAAACAATACAAAGAGTTCCACAATCATCTCAGTAAAAATGTTTGACTATAATATGTCGACAAAGTGAAACAATGTTTTTGAACCTGGCTTTATCCAATGTTCAGATTTCTGTTTTGGAAATGTATGCAAACAAGCACATATTTTATTTGCCTCATTTACAAACTTAAACATACAATTTCAGAAAACCTAAAATATAAAAATGAATAGCCTTAATGTAAGATGTCAGCTGGAAGTTTTATTGCGAGATCTAAAAATGTTACCCTATTCACCTGCGGTGTCCGCCCTTAAAAATGATCAGATTTCTTCCCCCAGTACTTCCCAGCAGTATATAACAATAATCACTAATAATATTAAAAGTTTGGGAAAGTGGGAAGATGAGCTGTTAGAAGAAGCTGTTGATGGCAGGCTGAGCTGTGCTGTAGTATGTGGTCAGGTGATGGGGAGGTTTAGGTGATATCTTAATCTTTCGGTTGCATGTATCAGTGTGTTTGTTTGTCTGAGTGTTTTTTGCAGGACAGACTTCTCAGAGTCAAACATGAGCATGTCAGTCAGGGAGGAGTACACAGTATCAAGTTTTACATACCACACACATGAAGAAACGTGTACATGCAAGTTAACACACATGTAAAGTGTGCTTGGGTGTGCATGTGACTCCTACTGGGAAATAGTAATAAAACTACCGACGTCAGGTATTATAAATAGTGCAGGACATCTGATTTTGTTTTTTTCGTGAAATGTCTCAACAACTGTTGGATGGATTTCCATGAACTGGGTTCACGCATTCTGACACCATCATGAGGTCTAAATGTTTGGCCAATACTTTGCTTTGCTTGCTCAACAAGGGAATGACTCGTGTTCTTGTTTACAAGTGTTACAAGACAGGACGGGGCGGGGCGAGCTGGTTAGCGTACTCATTTCAGCAGATGTTTCTGCAAAACAATATATAGACATCTCTGACACAACGTCAACACTGCAACCTCTTCACATTCTGTGGATAATGTTAGTATTGTCTTTTAATGTTTTAAACCAAAAACTATGGCCAGATCTTACACATTGCACCTTTAAGTAGAGTTCTTGAGTTCATAAACTTAGTAACATTCTTAGTTACCCAACGCTGCTGCAAAATGGATCTCAACATGTTAGCAAAACACGCACGCGGTCTGAACAATAGCAGTAAATATAGCTCACGGCAGGGGATTTTCACATACATGAGCGAATCAGTTATACCTCCACACATCCCATTTTAGACACTGATAATCCACTGAACCCAAACACACACACACAAATCTGACACAGGCTTTATTTGAGTATGTGTGTGTGAGTGTTGTGAACAAGGCTCTCCCATAGTATAAAGGGTATGTGATGAAAGATAAGTGTGTTTCAGCACATACAGTACATACATGTACAGAACTGTGTGGACATACAGGGATTTTATATACAGAAACACACAGTACAAACTACACACACACACACACACACACCGTCTCACAGACCTGGTACAGCTCATTGGCACACTTCCTGCAGAGGTTGTGCTGGCAGGGCAGGATGACCACCGGTTTGCTGAAGAGCTCCAGACAGATGGGACAGATCAGCTGTTTCTCCAACGTTGCCAGCACCGCCTCACCCTCTGCTCCCCCGCTGCCCTGCAGGCAGCTCAGCTCCGCCGGCAGAGACATGGCTGCTCCGCCGAACTTCACCTCCTCCTGTCGGCACCAGAACTGATTGAATGAACGCACTGTTCTGCTGCTGTCAGCCAGCAAGTATGTGTGTTTGTTTGTGAGGGACTGCACTGGTGACAATTATTATAAATATGTATAAACTTCAGTCAGTGCTGACCGTAGTTTAAAATAAATATACTTTTTCTTAAATTTTCTCCCAGGCAGACATTTGTTTTGGTTCATTTCTATGAAAACCACCTTGCAACTTGAGATTTGTTTGAGGTATGTAGATTAATCATTGGAGTTACCAAATTCACGATATTTTTTTCCACAATGTTCACGTTTGCTTGTCCTTCAACATTAAGTTTCCATATTTTGTTATCCCTTCAGTAGCTTTAAGTGTGGATAAATCCTCTTTTTCCACACTGTCTGACAGTAACACGTACTATATATTCTGTATCACCTTGTTTGATACTTTCCATAAAAGCTATGCCTGTAGAAGTAAGCGTATCAATAAATCTAAAATGTTATCCCTGAAAACTTACTCAAAAATGCTTTGGGGGAAAGCATGCAAATTCCCCAGTATGACACTAAGTTTTTTTTTAAAAGGCAACGGAAATGCAATAAAGTAGACAGTTAACACAAGAAAACTGGACAGGACAAATTTAAAGAGAGAAACAAAACACAGCAGCATTGACAAAACAGTCAAAGCTGAAACAAAACAACCTGTTTACTCACCTTCCTCTCCATCTGATGACGGTCGCTGTGTTCGGGCTGTTGACAGTTAGTTTCTCTTTGTCATTAGAAAGTTGGAGGCAGTTGGCGTTCCTCCTTCTCCTCCGGTGTCTGGCCTTTCTGCTTGTCTTAAGAGTCAATCACATAATCATTTGTTTGAGATGTATTTGTGTCTCAATGAAATTCTCTGTTATAGTATTCAAAATCACAGCAGAGTTGAGATCCTACTGTGAGCAAACAGAAAGAGTCCTGCAGGACGAGCAAGAAGCCTGAACTTTATCTCCTTGCAGGTCTTCAGGGCAAGTATTTTGTCAATATGTTTTGGATGTTTACATGCTCAGAGAGCCCAGTATACAGTTTCATTTAATTGAAACTCCGATGTTGGGTAAGTTTTGCATGAAGCTGCTGCTCGTACAAACCACAGAGGGCAACGTTGTCTGTCTCAGTTTCTGGAAACCCCCAACTCACTCACTCAGACAGTTTGAGTTCAGTCAGGCTTTCGTTGCCTTGGTGAAACTTTTCATGTCCAGTTATAGTCAGAAAAATCACAGATGTTGTCACACAAAAAACATATTTGAAAGCTGAGGTCAAGAAAAGTATCTTAATCCGAGGAGAGAAATTAAGCAGCAGTCAGTTTGTGATCTCTCCTGTTCAGCTCCTGTGACACCGAACGCTGACGCAAAATCTGCCTGGTCATGGATAGGGAGTCTCTCTATCTTTTCACCTTCGACCTCTTCCTTGCTCGTCCTCCTCTTCCTCACACAACCTCTCTCTCGCTCGTCCAACACTCACTCCATTCCTCTTTCTATCCCCACAAGTAGCGACTGCTGTGATTGTTTGTTTGCAGCTTCCTCACCATCCACAGCAATGTGCCAGTCAGTGTGAGAGGACTGATTTGAGTTGGGGGGAGTCAGGTTTCAGCCCAGTGCCTCTGAAATAATCCCAACACACACACACACACACACACACACACACACACCATATCAGGCAGTGGCTGGTATGTGGACGCATTAAGACCATGTTAGGCTGTCCTCTTTCTACGGTTACACACACTCAAGGTCCTCTTAAAAGGTGCTAACTGTAGCCTTTTCATTATAATAATAATTACCAAATTAATCTTGACACACTTTTATTAATATAAGCTAACGGGACCACTGCAGAAAAGTCAGTCAATCTCTACGTGTAGCAAGCATTCATAAACACGATATAATCATTTAATAAATGGCTTATAATATAGCTGCAGCTGTACACAGATATAAGGACATTTTAATAATTTTATACTATAATTGTATTTACAATAGGTGTTATGTTCAGTATTTTCTACTTTGAACATAATAATTTTTGGGATATTATGGTATCTACAGGGAATTATAGCTGGGATAGTTGGCCAGGAATGTGGCGTTTTTAAATTCCTCAAATCAGCTTTTCAGATCCAGTTTTTATGTTTTTATGATATGACTACACACTTCATAAGTTTGTGATGCATGAAATAAAATTAAAATAAATAAAATCTATAATTATCACAACTATGCTAATGACAACAGCATAGGTACTATGATGAAAATCATAGTAAATAGATTGTTTTTCATGGTAACTCCACAAAACTGACTGGGGTCTGGATTGTGAATGCGACAATGACACACTTGATGTCCCTTGATTTATCTGCTGTGTACAGTTATATTGGTAGTTTAGTGTAGTTTCAACCTTAAATGGTTCCTAGGTAACAAGAAAACAATAATGATGTCAGTATAGAAAATAAAGTCAGAATAATTAGCCGAGAATGTGGCATGCAGTTTCAGTTTGCTTTACGTTTCAACAAGAAACTTTAATTTTTGTTTTGATTTTGGCGGTACCTGTGGACAAAATCGTTCGGGTTTCTGATCACTAGAGTCCCTTTGATACCTCTCTTTTTACTTCAGCAGGGTCTGACTGTCTGGCACCGCTTGGTCCGGATTCTCTCGTGACTTCCAGCATCATGGTGGTGTTGTTGGTGTTGTTGTTGGTTCCCAGTGGAGCAGCGAGGCGAAGCTCTGCTCCCGGCAGCGACTGCTACTGGGCCTGGAGCTCTTGTCCTCGTGCCGGAGCTCCAACTAAAAGTCGAAGGTGGCACCGAGACCGGATCTGGTTCTGTCTCTACCGGAGGCCCTGCTGGAGTGTGAGCTGAAGGAGTTTCTGGTGAACCTGCGTGCCGTAAATCAGTTCACAGGTATTAAAATATTCCCGTTGATGGGCTCCTATACTTTTGTAGGTCTTAGAGGTTTCATAACCAGTTAAATGTTCCTTATAGAAAATAATAATTATTTAGTTTTAATTGTTTACTTTATTTGGAAGCACTTATCACATCAATTTATTTCACAATATGATTATTGTGACTTTCTACAGATGAAAATTGAGAGACTTCACTTGATCCTATAATATGCCTTGCGGGGCAGTTATCTCTGCTCACTTCTTTTCTTCTTATACATGCTTCCTCTGTGTGATTACAGTAGACAATCACCATTAATTATAATTATAATAGTTATCTATGCTGATAACATTCAACAATACATTTCATGAAATAAAGTAATTGCAGATTCAAACATTTCATGATAATACAAAAGTATTTCCCATTATTAAATCAAAGACACAGTGAGAAAAGAAGCTCTGAAGCAACAGAAACATTTATTTTACAACAGTGTATCATATACTTCATGTTCCCACACATCTGCCTGACAGACGCAAACATGAGTCCATGCTAAGAACAGAAAACCTCTACGTCTCTATGCACTGTGCCACTGCGTGTATATACAGCAGGTCTGTCACTTTGCCACGTCATTGTCAAAATAGTTCACATCTAAAATTCTATACATCCCCTCGACAAGAAAGCTAATTGTTAATAGATTAATAAAAACATAAGAAAAATAAAATAAATAAAATAATGCTTCGATATCATCTGGTCGCTGTATTCACTTAAATCAGTTCTTGTTATGTATTTTCTCATTGTTTTAGCGAGAAGTTTCTAGACTCCAGGTTTATGTATTTCAGGCGTCCCCGTGCATTCACTCAGACACTGTTGCATGTTTGGTCAATAGAGGAACAATTACAAAAAAAGGAAAGAAGTGACTTTAACAATGTGGCATTTCAGTGGACACATGATATGAAACGCACAACTAATCAAGAGAAATCTGATTTAAAAGGAGCATCTTCAAGTTTCATTAAAACTCTTTAAAAAGGTTCCTAAAACATCTTTTTAGCTGAATTTCAAACTTAAATACTAGAAGAAAGAATAAAAGTCTGACTTAAGCAGCCTGTTTTGAACTGCGTTTACCTTAGCTGGCACAATAACTATTGTGTTAACTCTTAGCCTTATTCTTTTGGCTTCAAACGCAGCTAATTAAAAACCTTTCCCTGAAACCTTTGACATTTGCGATTGGACGTTTGGACGAGAAGTGGAGAGAATTATTTAACTCATATTGCACCGTCTCATGATATGTATAAATACATAATGAACTAAGTGTTTGAGGAATCGAAGAAAATATATTGAATAAATTAGCCTGGTTGGTTCAATCACAACAAAAATCCAACTGTTGACACAAACAACCACAAAGTTGCTGTATTTCCTACTTTAGCAGAGCTGGAGTGCTACTTGTGTGCGACAAATAAAGATAAGCTACAAAAGAAGAAAGTGAGTGTTATTCTGGAAAATGAAACTCTACGTAATGAGTCGGCTTGTTGTAAACTGCTCTTCAGTTGCTATGAGGATCATTTCATCTACAAAACTGCTGCCACATAAAACAAATAAGACTTTGGATATCAATATCCTCCCTTCATTAACAACATAAATAAGAAAAGAAAAACAACGAAAAGCAATTCTACAGAGACAAATAGAAGACAAAAGAAGTGTTCAACTCGAAAGAAATACAGTGACGTCAAATCTAAACATTCACTTTAAACGACATGTACAGCATTGTTACATTAAAACAAAACAAATTGAAAACTAAAAACACTAAAAGTGGGCTCAATCAGTGTATATATGTATCTGTTTGTCCGGATGACACCAACAGGTCACTAATGTACGATATTGTACTCGGTAATGTCTCTACTAATAACACTGGCTCAAACAGTTTTCAAAAGTCAATCCTTCGTGTGCGGAAGAGAAAGTGGATCAACGTTAAAACACGAAAGAAGGAAGAAGTGAGGAAGAAGTGAGGAAGAGGACCGTGGCAAATCTACAATGGAGTAGCGTTAATAACAAGAAACGTGACTAATTATTACTGCCACTACTGAGAAGCAATACGATAACTTTTTCAAGATTTAATAGGAGTTAGTTATTACCAGAAGACCTTTTCAGACTCCTCGAAGAAGCAGGATGTTCTGTGAGGGAGTAGAGCAGGGGTCTCAAACTCAAGGCCCGCGGGCAGAATCCGGCCCGCCACGTCATTTTATGTGGCCCGCGAATCCACCAGCAAAAAAAAAAAAAAAAAAAGTTAAAAAAAATTAAATAGAAAATGAAATAATTAAAAGTTAGACTTGATAACAAAAATATCCCCATAGTCGAAATTATGAGATAGAAAGTCATAACTGATGAGATACCTAAACACGCAGTCATAGAAGCAGCTCTTTGGCTGGTTACTGTACACTTGAAATGGAAATGTATTGTGAGTACATTGAAGACTACTTTAAACGTGGCTTTAAAACACATGAAATACTTCACGTGGGATTGTGCAAATGCACCCTTGAAAGAATTTTAAGCTTTGAACAAAGTTATTGTAATAACTTGTGTTTGATATTTGTCTTTGCTATTTTCTTTAATAGTTTGATCTTTGATAGAGTAATGTGGGTTTCTTAACCCTAAATTAAAAGGATTTAAGTTATAATAACAGAAATTTATATAACTGCATGTACAATATTTTTACACTTGAATAAACAATAATCAAATACAGAGACTGTTATTGACCAATATGTTAGGAGTAGTTGCATTTACAACCGGCCCTTTGTGGGCGACCGTAATGCTGATGTGGCCCAGAGTGAAAATGAGTTTGAGACCCCTGGAGTAGAGAAACACACCCGTCACTGTCAACATTGAGCAGTACTATTTGTCTGCTGGCTCAGTCAGGTGTTTCCTCAAGGAAGCGGTTTCTGTCTGGCTGGAAACCTGCTTACATCATGCAGTATAAACGTGCTGGACGACAGAGGAAATTGACTTGCTCAGGGTGTCTGCATGCCAGACTTATAGAAACAAATTTAGGGATCTCTCTGGGATGTTAATTAGACCTTCTGACTTTCCCCAGCAAAACTTATAAAACAGACAAATTACTTCAGAATGGAGAGGTACAAAACCTGCTGAACCAGATCCAAGTGAGCAAACTGTTTCAATGGTGAGCGCGCGCGATGCTAGTGTGAGCTGCCCTCTCCACACTGAGAGGGGCTCCATGAGCAGAAACACTTTGGTCTCACAATAAAGTTGTTCTATAGACTTCAAGTGTTGCTGGAGTTTTGACTTCTTCGGACATTTAAACAGCCACAGCGCTACACAGTCCTTTAAACTCCTACTTCCAGCCTTGGGCTGAGAGAGAAGCCTTAGGAGAGTTTCCTAACGAGCTAAAGGGAGGCGGCTTGTTTCTCATCCACGAGCCGTTTCTGAGTATAGGAAGAACAAAATCTAGATATTTTTTAAAGTTCTAGACATCAAGGGTAAAACACTCGTGTGACGTGTCAAAAAACTCTTTCCTGTAACGTATTGCATAAATTTCCACTTGGCAAATATGTGAGACGTCAATTCCTTGTAGTGTCGACAGCACATAAGAGTCGGATATAGTCCAAAACAGACATAGACATTCTGTTTCTCCTACAAGCTCTTCTCATTTCTCAGTTTGTACATCCTCGCCTCCTCTCCCTGTCCCTCCCACCTGACATGCGAGCGAAGGAAGACACACAAGGAGGAGAGAGGACACAAGGAGACAGGCATTTAACGAAATGAGACATACGTGCTTCGGAGCCGTCATTTTAAAGCAGCGTCAATTAATTATGATGTGTGGCACAGCTGCGTGTCACGCCTCTTTTATACGTCACAGGTGGCAAAAACACTTCCGCAAAAGGACGCGGCTGTGCATCTAGGGAGATTGATTTCAGGGTTACAGGCAGGAGACAGAGGACAGAGGAGACGAGGAGGCACAAAACAGAAAACTGAGAAGAGATTTGTGTGTCTGTGTACAAAGTTTGTCACACGTACAGTTTGCATCATAACCTTTGGGCTGCACTTGGACAGTCCGTGGTTAGCCCAGCTGATATGGACAGATGGCGAAATGTGCGTCATGCAGATTGCATGTGTAGGTCGCGCCAATGCTTTGGCATTGCTCAGAGCCCAACACACAACCACTGTAGTGCGGAAGAAAATAGACTTACAGCATTGAAATACACATTGGGTTGTTTCACTCCTGTGTAGAGAGTTAAAACTAAAAACCAAACGCCTCCTGTGTAGACACGCTGTCAATGACACAATATATTTGCCCCCCAAACGCTATTGTGAGACGTCAAAGCCTATTTTAAGTGTTTAATATCTGTGGCCGGATTCATATTAAATTGGTGGATCACCTAAGATTTAGTGTTAAAAGAATATTTTTATATATTTTTTACTTTTGTGTTGATTTGTCCTCCTTCTCTCCTCACTTCACATTAATTACAAAATGAACGTGAATGAAAGGTAAACGTTTGGGCTGAGCCGAGTGATGGCTGACTGTGAGAGATGCTATCTATTATTTGCTGGTGTGTGTGTGTTATTGGTTGATACTATAACCGTGGTTAACTGCCAGGTGTGAGCTGTATGTGTGACTAGTATGTGTCGGTCCTGTAGCTTTGGCGGGCATCAGAGGTGAGCTGGGTAGTTTCTGTGGCTGAGGAGGGCTGCATCACAATGGGCTCACCGCCATCTGGACACACACACACACACACACACACACACACACACACACACACACACACACACACACACACACACACACACACACACACACACAGTAAGTTTCTTTTATACTTTGATGTTTACTTTGTTGAATCATAGAGGGTTGGGCCTAATATTGATTATGATGAAGTGTTGCATATGTCATTGTCTATATATCATGTAAATATACATGATATATCTATACACAAGATATATATGATAGATAAGTATTGTGTTTTCTTTCAGTATCTGCCCTCACCTCTCTCGTCAGCGGTCATCTGAGCCTCCAGGTCCTCGGGGGAGACGTAGAACTCGGGCTCCTGGTCCATGGGCGGCCGAGGTTTACATTTACCGCAGCAGCAGTTACAGCAGCAACACAGGCAACAGCAGCAATAACAGCCAGTGGACAGGCAGCAGAAGACGAACAAGGCCTGTGGGATGAAGAGGAGAGAGACAAGAGTTAAACAACTGACCTGATGAAGGACTCAGCAGAGCAGAGGATAGCATGGAGACATGGCAAACAATTAACACTGAATCCTGATTATACACCGGAGTAGCAGATATTGAGAAGAATGTCTTTTCCAAATGCACTTATCTGAATACAGGTTATGTGCTGTGAAAAGCTTTTTGGAGTTAAAGTAAGGAATACATTGTGCCAACACAAAGTATTCTCCCTTGAAAAAGAGATTTTTAATCTCAATGGGACTTTACCTGATTAAATAAAAAAAATAAATTTACTAACCCTCGAGCATTTTCATCGTTTTACAACACTGACACACAGTGGATGTAATTTAGGATATTTTTGATAAAAGAAGAAGAGTACACCGATCAGGATTATGTGTGGAAGGGTAACTCCGGACCTGATTCTACGGACATTGTCAAGAGTTCATATCAGCAAACATTTAGTAGAGATGTTAAGTTAAATATACTTGGAAGGCCAACATCCCTCTGAGTTAAAGTTGATCATAAAGAAAGAATAAATGGCCTCCGTCCTACCTTCGCCCACCAGCTGGACAGAACAAAGTAGGTGTTGACGTTCTCCTCTCCAAACTGCTCTGCGACGTAGAGCCCCAGAGAACCGTATTTGTCGTAGATGTTCTTCTTTGTGGTATCACTGAGGATTGAGTGGGCGTTGTTGATTTCCTTAAACTTTTCAGACGCGTCTGGGTTGTCCGGGTTCTTGTCCGGGTGGAACTTCAATGCTAGTTTCCTGTAAAAAAAAGAAGAAAAGAAGAAGAAAGGTAATGTTGGCAAGGGTTTCTCTGTTATGCTGGTCTTTTATCAAACATTTATAAAAAACACAAAAATTGTGACAGCGGTGAAATCACTCATCACGTCAAAAATGTGTCGATTTCATAAGAAATAGACCACCGTGGTGCTAAGAGAATCCGACTTCCCTTATACTAGGCTACGTCATTGGGGGCCGTCCAATTGGATGTTCTTGACATCGTGGGTCGAGGTGAAACTACAAAGTTCGGAGGATGGACATCTTAGATACTTCTTCTCACCGTGGTGTTGAGAAATATTACTTCATTAACGAGGTTGGAATTGAAATAAAAACAGGAATATCGGTTACCAGTCACAGAAACAAAATGACTGTTGCATTAAGAATGCTGCTCACCCATTCACAGGACCCCGCTGTCTCTCTCTCTCTCTCTCTCTCTCTCTTCTACCTCTCGCTCACGTGATCTCTCTGTCTTTTTATTTCTGTCATTTTAAAAATGATTTCCGGAGGCCAAGAGCAAAGACTAACTTGATGTTTACTGTAATCAAACCAATAGAAATGCGCTCACCACATCTGAAAATCATACTAGTGACAGTCATCCCTCCAAACCCCACCCCGAAAGTTCCTATAGTTTACAGAAAGGACTACCCCCTGGGTCCTGTGGTGGAAACACAGAGTTTCTTTAAAAGGTTCCTTGTCCCTACTAGGGAAAGTTCCTGTTGTCGAAAAAATTAAATCAACATTTTACATCTTTAAAACCTATTGAGAAGTCACCATTTAAATATAGTAATTCAATACGCTTGATTCAAAAGCTGAATGAAGCAATACGGAGCAAAGAACTACTGAAATGAACTTCTAATATAAGCAGAGTCAGAGGCCTCTGACTCCCTCTAGTGGTGTTACATTAAAACGATCAATATCAAAGATGGATTATGGGGCTGTTGTATTACTGTAGTACATTTCGGTGTGGGTATCAACACATACCTGTAACATTTCTTGATGTCATCTGTCGTTGCTGTCTTATCGAGTCCCAGCACGGCGTACAGCGAATCTCCTGATGTGGAGAGAGATCTCTGTCTCTGCTGCTCCATGGCGTCTCTCTCTCTCTCTCTCTCTCTCTCTCTCTCTCTCTCTCTCTCTCT